AAGGGGTCATTCAACATTTAAAATCCAGCCAAATTTTCAAAGCGCGTGAGAAAACAAAAAACAAGTGTGACAGAACCCAGCACCACATAGAGGGTAAAATAACCAACACATCCTCGTCTCCTATCAATTAAATATGTGTCTATTCTCAGAGGAACGAGACAGGCTTTAATGAACACACCTTGCAGGAAGAGAGCGAGCAAGAGACGGGGCTGTCAATAACATTAATTCTTTTATTCTAAACACTCTCGTGCCCTCCTGGTGGGCATCATTCTCTTCAGCAGGGGCTATGATCAAGGGCTTCGCCACCAGCCAATCACTATTCACCCAGCGACACACCCTGGGATGCATGGTGCGCACAGCATGAGCCGCTGGAGGCGCTTGATGCTGAATTGTGAGGTGAAACCGCAGAGCTGCCAGAGTGACTCCCCGTCAGCATAATTATGAGAGAGGGTTTTTTGGTTATGTGACTTCAGACTGAATTACTTATCTCTTCCTTCCCCCCTCTCGCACCCTCTTTTATTTTAAAGACTTGTCTCACATGCTCTTCCTGTCATGTCTTTGAAAACTGATTTTAACGCCCCTGGTGTGCTTAGAAAAGGACTAGAAAATAATAGAAAGGGAATGACGGGTACAGGTCAGGCCTTAAAGGAAAAAGGAGAACAAGGGACAAAAAAGTCAAAAAGAAAACAAAAAAGAAAAAGGTTGAGCCTTGGCCTAGCACATGGTACACAAATTAGGCTCATGTTATCACTCTCTCTCTCTCTATATTCGATTACGATCATCATGTCAACAATTCAATTCAGTTCGATATCACGATGCATCACGATTATATCAATTTATTTTGTGCCTTTTTATTGAATTATATAAGCAGGTTACTTTTTAAAATAAATGTTAATTAATTATTCATATTATTAATATTATATTCATTAATATATAATTGATTAATTATTGTTAAGAATTAAAAATAAATATAGCTTTTAAAACATACAAGCAAATATAAAGTAATAAAGGGGGAAAACACAATTACAAGGGATAAACAAAAAACACTTTCATTATCTGGGAGTGCATTAAGTATCTGAAAGTTTACAGATAGGCTAATCATAGTTATGGGTTTTTCTTTTGTTTTTTTTTTGCCATTTGATTATTACTGATGAGATCATAGACCGTGGCAGCTTTAACAGGCTGCATTCACACTAATGCGCAGATCTATTTCGACTAGAGCCCCACCGATATATCGTTTTGCCGATATTATCGGCCGATATGAGCCTGTCGCCGATATATCGGTATCGGCGAATATGCCACCGATATGAATTTTTTTTTTACAGAACATATATTGCAGATAAAATGCTTGAAATGGTGTAATTACTTAGTTTGTCCAGCAGAGCATGCTCCATTGTTTGCTACTGGCAACCTGGATGAAACGCTTTAAAGCTTAAGTCTATGGAAAACCATTGAAACTTTGAACGGCCATCTGCACCAATCCGCACCAAATTCGGGGGATCCCTTCAGCTCGAGGAACCCTCGCGAACGCAAATCGAGTGTACGTCTTGAGGCCCTCTTTCGAATGAGCCCACCCCCGCGTGGATAGCCCCCGGGGTTCGGGAGTTACGGGGGGTTAAATTTGCGATCCGGCACCGACCAATCTAGCGATCCCGGGGGGCTAATGACACGTGGAGGGTGGCATTCGATAGGGCTCCTCGAGCTGAAGGGATCCCCCGAATTTGGTGAAGATCAACCGGCGCATTCGCGAGATAGTGACAATTCGACATATCAGATGTTTTGTCCTGTTCTGAAAACATAACTGATTGTTTACATCAATTATGTATCATAAAAGTAGATGCAAGTGAATTTAACCACAGCCACGAGCTTCAGGACAAGCACAAAGCGCACGTGAAAGTCTGACAGTACGTGAGTTTCGTGCATCTAAAACTTAGGCTACTGCGTTCCAAACGGCATAAATGAAAGCACATCTAAAGTAAAAGACTAAAATAACAGCGAATGGAAGCGCAGTCAAGCAATACGCACGCGTCTCACAGCGCATATCCTGTGCAATGAAGCCCGCCGCGATTGTCTCTAGCGCACACATGTGCCATGTGCGGAAGAAAGCTAAGCTCAGATTTTAAAATAGAGTGCATTTTTAACAAGCGCGTATGCAAATGACGTCAGAAGGCTATAATCGATTATGGTCTATTACTGCATCGATGGAGAATCGTCCACGTCCGCATTGCGATGCATCAATTTCGACACCCCTATATATATATATATATATATATATATATATATATATATATTATATATAATGGATATATCTATACCCCTACATATATATATATATATATATATATATATATATATATATATATACTGTATATACACACTAGACTTATGCCGGTATTCGGTAATGCGATATATCACGGTAATGAATATGCACTATATTGTTATCGTGGGCACTTCTAAATACCGTGAATAATTATATATTACAAATTATTCCGAATTTTGAATGCATTTTAAGAATACTTTTCGCATCAACTGGTCAAAATGCACAACACCGCTGTATGCTGCATGAAATACGCGTGCGCATTCTGATGTTAATAAGCGCGGACGAGAAGCACATGGCGGAAACATGTGAGAGACGCTCTGGATGAAAGCGCACTTTCACTCTCTGACAGCAGATGGCGCTAAACTGCAGAAATAATAATAATAATAATTTAAATGAAGCCGTTACCTCGGAAACCCTGTAAACAAAGCAGCTGCACTACTTTCTGTTTCTGAATCGTGTTTAAATGATTTAAACAGCCATTCAGATTTGTGTATTTGCTATGATGTTCATCACAGAGCCAAATACTTAGATAATATTTAAATTTAAATATTTAGATTTAATTTACTTTTTTTTACATTTTAATCTGGACTACAACATGCCCTAGATATTGTTTGAAAGCGTTTTGATTCTTTATTGTTCGGTCACACTTTACATTAGGGCTTCATTAGTTAACATTAGTTAAACTGCCAATGAAAAATTCTTCTGAACATTCATTAATCTTAGGTATTCCAATATTTAATAACACGTTGTTAAAATCGAAAGTTGCAACTGTGTTATTTAATGAGCTAACATGAACCAAGACTTGTATTTTTTAACTAAGATTAATAACTTCTGTAGCAAATGTAGCTATTGTTCATTGTGAATGTTAATGCATTAACTAAGGTTAACTAATGAGGTCTTATTGTAAAGGGTTCTTTTGCACTTTAATCTGTGTAAAACTTTTAACTTTATACATTTTTCTGTATTACTTTATTGCATTTTCTGTATTACTTTATTGCATTTAAATGTTCAGTTATTTTTGTTATAAGAAAAAAGTTACTAAACCTGTTATACTGTATTATGACAGCACTTTTTTAAAAACTAAATTTCAATATCATGATAATACCGTATACCGTAATAAAAGCATTAGCAATTAATCACAACATGAAAATTTGATACCGGCATATCCCTAATACACACAAACACATACACACATATACAGCGCAAATACAGCGTTTGTTTTACAACTACACATGTGAAACTTCATTTTAGATATCTATTTTATATATACCTAGTTTTATAAATCTTCATTTTAATGAATCAATATTGAAGCTAAAGGAGCAGTAAGCAATTTCTGAGAAACACTGTTGATATTTGAAATCACCAAAACAACATAAGGGCAGATCCCTTTAGCCCAGCTGATGCCGCTTTGAAGTGACGCTTGAGTGATCAAGAATATTCCAATGTACAAATAACCGTTCCTTGGATTCTTCTGTCCTCATTTTCTTTCCTTGCATCCTTCCCTCTTATCCTAACCGGGGTGGAGCTAAGACACGAGGAAAGGAAACGAGGATGCACAAATAAGAATTGAGAAGCACCCCATGCAACACAGGCACCTCCTCCATCACAAGTGGACGCACCCCTTACTGGTGATTGGCTACAAGTGTGTTTAGGTGTTCGGCCTGATCCACTTTCAACAGCGTTTCTCAGAAATTTACTGCAATTTACTCAGAACTTACTGCACCTTTAAATCGAGATTGAGAGAAATATCGATCTTTTAGACTAGAAAAAAAACAAATTAGAAACAAAGCAGCAAAGAATTCAAAACAAACCTTAGACAAAGTCTGATCGTTCAAATTCTGTAGATTTTATATGGTAATTCAAACAATAAATGTCGTTTGGACACTGATGTGGCGTGACAGATTGCTGAATTGACGTCTTAGTTCAAACTACAAATAATATTTATAAAAAAAAAAACACTTTTAAAAATACTAAATCACAATTTTTTTTATGATTAGAATTCAATATGTAAATATTTAATTCTAATATGTGACCCTGGACCACAAAACTAGTCATAAGGGTAAATTTTTCAATAATTGTAAAAAATATTATATTATTATTAATATTAAAAATAAGCTTTCCATTGATGTATGGTTTGTTAGGATAGGACAATATTTGGCCCAGATGCAACTATTTGAAAATCTGGAATCTGAGGGTGCAAAAAAAATCTAAATATTGAGAAAATTGCCTTTAAAGTTGTCCAAATGAAGTTCTTAGCAATACATATTACCAATTAAAAATTAAGTTTTGATATATTTACAGTAAGAAATTTACAAAATATCTTCATGGAACATGATCTTTACTTAATGTCCTAATGATTTTTGGCATAAAAGAAAAATCTATAATTTTGACCCATACAATGTATTTTTGGCTATTGCTACAAATATACCCCAGCGACTTAAGACTGGTTTTGTGCTCCAGGGTCACATATAATTATAATTAATAATTTTACCCTTCACATAATATGAGCGGCATGCATTCAACCATCACAGATTGTAAAAAAAACAAAACAAGTACACCTAACCCTTAGAAAAGAAACTTGTCTCCACAACAAAACACATATATTCATGCCTGTAACAAACGGTTACACAAAATAAGTGTATTTAAGTTTAGGGGTTTGTCCAGGGGACAGATTGGTCACCTCGTCTGGGAGCTGCTGGTAGACGGTCTCTGCTGTGGCGAGGATGAGGAGCGGTGTGAATGAGGGTACATCCTGCAGGAGTGTGAGGAAGCTGCTCTTGACCGTCTCACTGATGGCTTCCCACCAGTCACTGATGTGAGGCATGTAGATGATGCTGGGTACACATCGCCGAGCCTCACGAAACAACTACACACAGACACACATACCAGACGTTACAAATGACTGCATTCAATCCTATGTAGAAAATAAGGTGGATATGGTGTGATGGCTACCATCATCACACATTTTAAGCACAACAACAGTACTACAAGCCCACAGCACCACACACTGGACGTGTCAAGTCTTTAAAAGTGATGTTGTTTTTTTCAGCTTGCCTGAGCACAGGATTCCTCTGGGGTTTTGGCACTGACGGAGTATAGCGTGGGTAGGTCGAGACGGTGCACAGTGAACTTCTCCAGGTGGTGCAGCAGGGCAGGGGCCAGGTGCGTGCTCTGCCCCGCGCCCTGGGGTCCCGTCAGCAGCAGGCGTGGCCGGTAAGAGGTGGGCTGCCGGTAGGCAGAACTGAAACAAAAAGAAAAAGGTCACTATCTATCTATCCATCTGTCTAGGTTAGTTAGAAACATTCAATTCAAATCTAGAAGCACAGACATGCTGTTTACACAGATGCTAGTTTTGAGAAGCTGCCTCAGTTTCTCATTTAGGAAGAGTTCCTGACAACTGGAACGAAGCTACGACGACAAAATAAAACTCCAATAATGAGGAGAAATAAATAAGGAAATTGATCAAGTTGGCAGCTCTTTAGGGAGGACACATTTTCATGCATTTGTCATCTATACTGTATAATAATATATTAAGATGAACCACTTGCCAAAATCTCATTTAAGTGTGAGGGGCTGCAAGTATTGATGATCGCAAGCTAATGCCATAAAACACAGTTTTACTGAACTGTGAAGAACAAATCAATGCAAATGCGATTGAAGCAGGTCTGCTGAGGAACATGAGCTGTCTCAGTGCAGACTGTTAGTCCTGCAGCATACCAACAGATGGCAGAAAAACACAGCATTTGATTTTATCATGTAAACCCCTTCGAGACTTATAAATCTGACATGTTTTGTTTGTTTATTTTCTATTGCCATATCAGCATGAACGGCTGTACTCATGGAAAAAAAATTAAGATTTACAATTAAAATTGCAACATAGGCATAATAAATGAAGGGGCTCGGTGTATTGATTATTAAAGTGTGCTGAGGATGAAAAGTGAGTTCTGTATGAATTCGACTGACTCACGTGGTAAAGTGGAGAAAGGGTTTATGGGTCGTGCAGGAAGCTGCTTCCTTCAGCGATCCTGAATGAGTTTCATAAATGGAAGGAGCACCAAGACATTCCTCGTCCTCGCTGTACGAGTCCTCCACCAACTGATGATTGTCAGTGTCTGAAATCACAGAGAAACAACTTCACATTTCTGCTGACATTTCTTCAGCTTTAGAGTGGTTTACAAAAACAGCAGTTTAACTAAAACAGAAAACAACATGCAGCAGGAAAAGTGCTTTGATTTGATGCGTTAGTATTGGGGAAAGTTACTCTGATAGACAAATAAAAAAAATACATAAACATAAATAATAATATAATGATTTTATTTCATCTTATATTTTAATCCCCCCTTTCCCTCAGCAGTAAATAAAACATCCCTCAGTAACAAATTTGTAAAAGTAAAAGGAAAATCTTGCACTTTTGGGAAAATTTTATATATGTATATGTATATGTATGTATGTATATATATATCAACACACATATCATATATCAACCCTCTACAGACACCTTGGCAATTGAATCGCCATTGGCTAGTAAATTTTAGTTTACTTGCCAGACTGAAATACTATACTATATTACACTATATATTAGGGCTGCACAATTAATCAAATTACTAATCGCGATTACAATTACGGATGCCACAATTACATAATCGTTCAAAGTCCACTTATGTTATTCTGCATGCTTAAGATGCTTTTTTTCTTTCTACATGTTATCTTAAAGGGGTCATATGATGCGATTTCAAGTTTTCCTTTCTCTTTGGAGTGTTACAAGCTGATTGTGCATAGATAAGATCCCTGAAGTTGCAAAGACTAAAGTCTCAAAACCAAAGAGATATTCTTTATAAAAGTTAAGATTCTGCCTCGCCCCCACATATCTACCTCACTATGTGGAAATATTTGCATAATGCGCCCAAATGTGCACGCAAAGAAAGAAGGCGTGGTTTCAGTAACCGCAGTTAGTGTTGAAGCAGCCATGTCAGATGGACACTGTGTGTTTCTAGGCGAAAGCAAAAGCACTTTATTTGGCCTTCCGAAAGTAGATGCATTTAGGAATTGCATTTAGGAATACTTACAACAGAACATCAATGCATTTTATGAACGACCGTTTCGTGAACCTAGGAGAGGAGGAAATTCTGACTTGGCTATGACAATCTGGCGCTTCTGAATCAGCTACTGTTTTGTTATTAGTTTAAGTATTTGCTATTGACTGTTCAAATGCAGAGTTTTGTGCATCGTGTGTGTGTGTGTGAGTGAGAGAGAGAGAGAGACAGCGTCACATCACAGTGGAGTCAGTTGTCTTAACCGCGGCTTGTGTACTGCATCATCACTGTGTCTGTCACGCGACTCTGTTCCACTTTCGGGCTTGAACTGATGGTAAAACTAATGACATTATTTACTGTCTTTACATTTATTTTGAAAGATGAAGCTCGCGATTATGGTAAGGGGCGTTACATTTCCGACGAGTGCTTGCGGTGCTCGGCCAATCACAATGCACTGGGTCAGCTGGCCAATCAGAGCAGACTGCGCCTGTCGGAAGGAGGGACTTTGTAGAAAACTAAGCGTTTGAGAGAGGCGGGGCATAGAGGACCTACAATAATGTACAGTATTTGAAAAATAATGTGTTTTTTGAACATTAAAGCATGTCAACATATTCTGTTACACCAAATACACAAAATAATGATCTTTTTTTTAAAAAAGCATCATATGACCCCTTTAAGGGTTTTTCCATTATTTTAATTTTAGTTTTAGTATAATTATATATATATATATACATACATACACATACACACACAGTGCTACTTGAAAGTTTGTCAACCCTTTAGAATTTTGACTCTAAGAATGACTCAATTTCAAGTCCTGAAAGTAGACCGAGAACCCAAACAAACAAATGAGACAAAAATATTTTCTTTGCCATTTATTTATTGCGAAAAATTATCAAATGTTACATATCTGTGTGGTGCAAAAGTATGTGAATCTTTGCTTTCAGTGTCTGGTCTGACCCCCTTTTGCAGCAGTAACTGCAGGTAAAGTTACTTGTAACTGCTGATCGGTTTGTAGGAATTCTAGCCCCTTCCTCAGTACAGAACCACTTCAACTCTGTGCTGTTGGTGGGTTTCCTCCTATGAACTGCTTGCTTCAGCTCCTTCCACAACATTTCAATTGGATTAAGGTCCAGACTTTGACTCTGTGATTCCAAAACATTAACATTGTTCTTCTTTAACCATTCTTTGGTAGAACGACTTGTGTGCTTGGGGTTGTTGTCTTGCTGTTTGGCCCACTTTCTCTTGAGATTCAGTTCATGGACAGATGTCCTGACATTTTCCTTTAGAATTTGCTGGTATAATTCAGAATTCATTGTTCCATCAATGATGGCAAGCTGTCCTGGACCAGATGCAGCAAAACAGGCCCAAAACATGATACTACCACCACCACGTTTCACAGATGGTATATAGGTTCTTATGCTTGAATGCAGTATGTTCTTTTCTTCAAACAGAACGCTTCTCATTTAAACCAAAAAGTTCTATTTTGGTCTCATCTGTCCACAAAACATTTCTCCAGAATTCCTTTGGCTTGTCCACATGATCTTTAGCAAACTGCAGACGGGAAGCAATGTTCTTTTTGGATGCACCTTGCACACCATGGTTGTTCAGTGTTCTCCTGATGATGGACTCATAAACATTAACATTTGCCAATGTAAGAAAGGCCTTTGGTTGCTTAGAAGTTACCCTGGGTTCCTTTGCAACCTTTTGAAGTGATCTTTGTTGGTCAGTCACTCCTGGGGAGGGTAACAGTGGTCTTGAATTTCCTCCATTTGTACACCATCTGTCTGACTGTGGATTTGTGGAGTCAAAACTCTTTAGAGAAGTTTTTGTAAACTTTTCTAGCCTGATGAGCAACAGCAACTCTTTTTCTGAGGTCCTCAGAGATCTCCTTTGTTCGTGCCATGATACACTTCCACAAACATGACCAAACTTTGATAGATCCCTGTTCTTTAAATAAAACCGGGCAGGCAATGACACCTGATAGTCATTTCACTGAATGAAAACACCTCTGAACAGATGGATTCTTAATTTCACCTGGAAATTAACAGCTGATCCTATAGATTCATATACTTTTGCACCGCACAGATATGTAATACTGGATAATTTTTCTCAATAAATAAATGAAAAAGAAAATATTTTAATCTAATTTGTTTGATTGGGTTATCCGTGTCTATTTTCAGGACTTGTGTGAAAATCTGATTGTTTTGGGTCATATTTAAGCAGAAATATAGAAAATTCTAAAGGGTTCACAAACTTTCAAGCGGCACTGTATATATAAATCTGTGCCATTTTACAAACACAAATACACACACACATATATATATATATATATATATGTTTGTAAAATGGCACAGCTTTTTAAATATCTGAAAGTACACTCTTACATCAGTCAGTCGAGCATTATAATATGACAATCAAGTATTATTTAATAATAGAAGTTTAGTAATTAGAATTAAAACTTAGTAACCATGTATGAATGCAAATTAGCCATTTTAACTGAACTTAGGACTGGTGCTGGTGCTTTTTTTGGTCATTCAGTGTTCCTGTAAAAAATTGGCAAAAACTAACAATAATACTGATAAGATGATAATAATAATAATAATAATAATAATAATATACAAATAAGAACAATATAAAACGCACCAAGGATTAAAGTGCCCCAATTATGGGTAATGAAAGGTTCATATTTTGGTTTTGGGAGTCCCCAACAACAGCGTGACATGCATGCAAGGACAAAAAACACTTTTATTGTCTTATAATATGCATTTATTTTTACCTTACTTGCTCAACGACTCCCAAACGATTCACTCAACGATTCAAGGGCACAAGTAAGTAATGAGGCACAATAAAAATATGAAATCTGTCTTGTAAAACTTTAAAGATAAAACATTTATAAAATCTTCTAGAGGAAAAAGATTCCATTAATTTGATAAGATGATAATAATAATAATAATAATAATATACAAATAAGAACAATATAAAACGCACCAAGGATTAAAGTGCCCCAATTATGGGTAATGAAAGGTTCATATTTTGGTTTTGGGAGTCCCCAACAACAGCGTGACATGCATGCAAGGACAAAAAACACTTTTATTGTCTTATAATATGCATTTATTTTTACCTTACTTGCTCAACGACTCCCAAACGATTCACTCAACGATTCAAGGGCACAAGTAAGTAATGAGGCACAATAAAAATATGAAATCTGTCTTGTAAAACTTTAAAGATAAAACATTTATAAAATCTTCTAGAGGAAAAAGATTCCATTAATTAAAAAAATCAACCATTTATGAAATATGTATAATAATAATAATGAACAAACTCAATCCAGGAAAACTAAAATCTCTCACTAGTTGTCAATTTTCTTTTAAAACAATCAGTTCAATGGTATAAATACAGCAGAGAAAAGCTCAAAACTAAATGGTGGGATGAGTCACATGACTTATTGCAAAGAGAGCAGTCATTAAAAATACTGGGAAAATTCTATTCCCAGCAGTAATATGAGGTGGTAATTATAAAGCTCTGTATGTAAGGCACAAAAAATAGATCTGAATGGATGATGAAACACCTAAATCAGAAAAGAAAAGCAAAGGGAAAAAACTAATTAAAGCAATTTTTGTACCGGTGATGTATAGTAGAAATAACTCACCGAACAACATAAAATCCAACAGCAGGAAATGGGAGCGTACCGTGTATGTGTTCCCTGTGCAGGAGCTCTGCGTGGGGGAAGACTCGCATCAGGCAGGCCAGCGTTTGGGCCAGTGTAGGCTCCAGCAGGGGCTTCAACACGCAGGAAAGGGCCTGGCCGGGTGGAGTCAGGGCCCTTTGACCCGCAGGTACTATGGAGCGCAGAGCACGACCAAAGTCCTGCGGCCCCAAAACGATGGAGCCCACATCCAGGTGATAACGCTGGCTGCTGCCGTAAATCTGAGGATAGCGCCGCCGCAGAGCCGCTAGCGCAGCCTCTGTGCAAAGTGCTTTGATGTCGGCCCCACAGTAACCTGAGACACAGCAGAGTTAGACTCATCTGGACAACAACATCACTCTGTGGCCACCTTTAATACTGTTCAAAAACATTAGTAAATTGTTAACTTTAAATATTTACAACCTAACAGTTGCATAATTACACAAAATAAATAGATATAAAATAAAATAATAACAACTCTAATTTTTTGTTTTTTTGGTTTCCATTTAATGGTTAAAATAAACTCGAAATGGTTAGAAATTTGAAAAGATCAAATGAAAAGATATTGCTTAAACTTTATTATTATTTTTATTTA